GCTCTGAAAATGTAGTATAAGGATGTGCTTAACTCCAGTAAATTTGTGGTTGGTCTGGATTTTTGGTTCATCCCTTTCATCATTCTATCTCTGCCTTTGTTTGTCATATATACTATAATACTCAAACCTGTTTAGCAGCACAGGTTCTCCCTCTGAAATAACTGAAAAATATTTGGGGTATTAGAAACATGTTCCAGAAGCCATAAAATTTTATAGAAAAGAACAATTTCTAGTGGCCCTTCTGCTTTGAATGATTGTTATTAGGAACTGCTTAGCTGATATACCCCAACTGTGTGACAAGGCAGACAGGCATATGTGACTTTTCTAGCAGATACTGATTAGAATTTCCCTTTTAAAACTTGTCCTTCTGTTTTCAAATAGCAGCACTATATAAAAGATGCAATTCTATTATTCTGCAGTTTCATTTTTTTTATATAAACTCTGAATACAGGCTAATACATCTTGTCTCCCCATGATACTTTACAGTGTAACCCACTGAATAAAGAATAGCTCCCTATGCAACTGAGCATTATGTTATAATGAAGAGACTGAGTTATCAGATTATTAATATCTCTAAATGAAGCAATCATTCTGAAGCAAGAAAAATAAGAAATATTTCTATCTATTTTATATTTGAATTAGGGTGTTTTCAATCCCATTATTATAAATTAGTTCAATAGAGCTAGCATAAAACAGGTCCAGATAATAAAAAAACTGTTGAATTGTTACATATGTTAAGTTTCTGAATACTATCGTTTGCCATAACTCAACTAAACAGGCAAGTGAGACATTTAGACACCTGATGGCAATCTTTCATTAAATTTGGTTAAGTATGATTTGTGCCTCATCCTGTATGACAATGTCTCAGACATAACAATACAATTTAGTTTTGTATAGGACTTCAGTCAAAAAAACCCACAAAGAAGCCTTATGATGAGATGCATAACTAGTTGGATGGGGGTTCAGTGGTTCCCAGAAAGGCAGTATACAAAAAATTACATTAGCTGAAAAAGAGGGGAAAACCCAGGAATTTTAAAGCAGCAAAGACAGTTATGCATTTTTGCAGCCAGTTGGAGTGAGAATAAACTGGAAGAGAATGGCAAAGGGAGGAAAAGGTAAGTGAGGTTTATGTTGTGTTAAATGATGCAACATAACCCAATGCCATGCATGAATTGTGTTACTTCAGAGACTTAAACAGATGCTGTTCACTATTTCTTAGGACTGACTGGCCAGCTAGCCTGGCTTTCTTATTGCTATGCCAAGTACAATAAACTTATTTTTGCAAAACAAATGTGATCATCTGTGACAAATTCTACCTTTTCTCACTATCTGTATTCATCTTAAATGTACTAAACTTTGCAGCAGCTCCATATTTGAGGTTAGGAGGAAGACAAGCTGAAGGAAATGTGCATTCAAACCCAAGCTGATGTAATAAATAACCGTCCTAGTGTTTGTCAGTCTGTCAGTGCCAAAGACTCTGAAATACAGTTCTACAGAGCTTGACAAAAACCTGTAAGAGGGAATTGTAGTTGTCAGACCCTTTTGGCTCCTGATACAGTTTTGTGGGAGCCAAGGAGGGGCACAGAGTTTTGACTCTCTAACTTCTTCTGGATACAAGGATCATTTCTGCTCTTTCCCTTTGATGGGGGTTAGTTTAATAGTGCATCTGTCTTCTAGAGAACCCCAACACAATTATTTACACTGGTTGCACTGAAGAGACACTTTATGTGCATCCAATTCTTCTGTCCCTGCCTGAAGGGCTCAAGCACAGCTGGTGAGGGGAGACAGATGGAGAAGGGCAGGTAAATTGTGAGACAGCCATGGTTCACCCACCAGACAGTGGTTTCATCTCAACAACTGCCCAACTGTGGAAGCATATTGTGAGTGCCAGGGGCTGTGGCAACAGAGAAAAGACTTTGATTAGTTTTCAGGAGGTAGAACAAGAACCTGGCACTCTTTTCTTCCTGAAAATATTGTGTTGTCCTAGAAACAGCTTAAAGAAAGGATCCATTTAGTATTACAAATAAGTGTAAGCACAAATGGCTGCTTGGTCCTGGACAAAGCTTAAAGCGACCCATTTATGTTAGAGGAGTCACTCAAGTCTGTTATTGATGTGAGAGAAAAAATCAGTCAAAATTATTTCTTTCTGAAACATCTTTTGGGTTTAGAGAAAAATGGGATTGGGTTAAAATCTGTAATTCTGAAAACCTTAGAAATAAACAACTACCTGACAGAGAGAGACAAAGGCACCAGCCACTAGCAATTACTTTGGAGTGGAGGAATCCCTGTAGGAAGGAAAAAAGCAACTCTCTCATTATTTTTGTACATATCCCTGACATAAAACAATGACTAAAATCTAAGGGGTAAATTTTACCCTTCCTTCACCATTCACCCACCACAGAGCATTACAGAGCCATTCAGCCATAAGGGGATACCTGGTTACTTGGGAAGTGCAGAGAGGATGTGAAGTGCCACCTCCTCTTCAGTGCTGGAAGCTGATATTCTTCATCTGTGACAGCTGGTGGGCAGTCAAGATGCAGTCAGACAGCCTTGTGTTTGAATCCTCTTTGAGTGTTTATCTCTCAGATACAACATACATCAATCTTACCTTTCAAAGATTTCTTTTTTATCAGCATTCTGCCTCTTCATGAAATAGTTATTTTATTTTATGGAAGATGAATGAACTGTGTTGAATACACAAGCAAACAAACAAATCAAATACTGAATTTTGCTTTCACCCATTGCCTCAGAAAAAAGGTTCCTTATGGTAATGATATAAAAACATGCTAATGTCAAATTAATGTCTCTACATTCAAATTTTATTTAGCACTAGAAAAATCAAAAGAAGGTCCTAAAATTCCTAAAACGGTGTTAATAATTGAAATAGGACATTCAGTTTCTGGTTCAAGAACTGCTCCTTGAGGTCTGAGAATAAGGGCTGGAATATAGAAATTTAACCCTTAAAAGAACAGAGTTTAAAAGACTATAGATAAATGTTTTCCAAACATTGTCTTGAGCTCTTCTTTTAATCTCCATAGGATTGAAATAAAGCTCTGTGTGTCCATGTAAGTAATACTCCTTACCACAACAACTGAGTATATTCTCCCCACACACTTGCCCTCCAAAAGGTTATAATCTGCCCTTACCCCAAATAAATTTGGAAAATTATGATACAGGTTATACTCTGGAAAGAAATAATGAATGAGTAATCACCTCATGGACATATATTAGTCTTCCAACCCTGGTGTGTTTTGGAAGTAGATTTCTAACAAACTTACTACACAGGCCACTTCCTACTCACCTTCTAATGACATTTAGTGACATCCAATCAACCACTTTTCGTAAACATGTCAGCTGCAGTTGCTTTTTACTGGTGTCGCAGCTTAAGCCCAGCCAGAAGTCCCATGCAGCCGCTGGCTCACTCCCTGTGAGAGCCCAAAATGTTAAAGATTAATGACTCAAACAATTGCCCATTTGCAAAAGCAGCAGGTGCTCTGCTGAGGCCAGGTTTGCACGCACACCTCCCCGAAGTGAAGGGGAGGAGGAGGCTTTCTGGACGTGGTGAAACCTCTGACCTGCATAAGAACAGCCCAGGTGAAGAGGGGTGTGCATCCACTACTGGAGACTGACCACAACAAACCCACCTTCGTGAGCAGCAGCTGAGTTTGAGCCAGATAAGGGAAGAACCCAATAAGAAGATCTTGTAAGGTGGGATAGAGCTTTTCATTATGCCTGTGGCTTCCCCAACACAACTGGTTCAGGTGTAAAACTCCCCTTGGGGAAAGTGTTGGGGCATTCACACATAGGCCTGAAGTTATTCATCCATTCTGATGGGGCACAACTGGCCAGCTATGCTGATAGGAGAGACAGCTGTCTTGTGTTAGGTGTCACAAACCATGAAGCATCCCCAGAATTATTTCAGGAGCCTCCTCCCAGGGGACTACATGTGATCCACAGCGTGACATCAGACAATGTGAAACTCCCCAACCAGGGGAGGTGCCTGGGCCTTCCCACATGACCCTGAGCATATATTAACACACTGAAATTTGTGTTTTGTAGGCTTCCCTCATTCCCAATGGATCAAGACTGGGCAACATTCCAATCAACAGACACCAAAATTGCAACAATCAAGTCTCATCTGGAGACTCACTCCATGGGTGATGATATCTTTCCACTCTTATCCTTTCTTTCTCTTTCTTCCTTTTCCTTGTTCATTTTCTTAAGTGTTAGTTTCATGGTTTTATAATGCTGTATTTCTACAGCTAATAACCAAACTGACTACATACTTCCTTTCCATTGCAACCAAATTGTCCTGAAATAAACCTGCCATATATATATTTTTAAACACTGGTCATTTAGTGTTTTTTCACTCTAATCTGCCCCAAAGCAGATTATTAACAAGAACCTCAGTTAACCCACCTTCAAGGGCAGGTCATAATACTCCCAAGCCAGCATGATCAGGAGGAGAACTGGAAGGATGAAAGTTAAAAAATTCGTAAGTTGAGGTAAAGACAACTTAGTGGGGAAAGCAAAAGCCACACATGAAAACAAATAATTAATTCACCACTTCTATGGACAGGCAGGTGTTCAGCTGTTCCTGGGAGAGCAGGGCCCCTCCATGCACAACGGTGACTTGGGAGGACAAATGCCATCACTCCAACAGTCCCCTCCTTCCTCCTCTCACTTTGCATACTGAGCATGCTGCCACCTGCTCTGTGCCACACTGGCAAGGCTGACTTCTCAAGACATTTTGGGATACCTGTGGGGTGTGGCAGGGGGCAGGTCAGGCCTTGCCCTGCCAAGGTGGTGAACTACCCCCCACCCGAACACCACTGGAGCTTGTATCCCAGCCTGGCAGAGCTGTCAATCACTAGAACACCTCAGACTGCTCACACAGTTCCTGAGAGGCCAAGTGACCACAAGTCCCACCTAGGGGTTGGGCCTGCAGGGGCCACTGGGTATTTAAAGCTGAGCATGAGGTGGCTGTAACTTGATCCTACCCTCTGCTGGGGTGTGCGTGTCATCCGTGCTGGAACCCAGCAGCTGGTAACTATGTGTGTGTTTCTTTTCTTTTTCTCTCTTTCTTCTTCTAGTTCCCTTTTATTGGAACATTTTGGGTAACTTAACATCAAACAGCTTTGTAGTTTGCTAAGTTGAATGGGACAAATTAATACTGTGAGAAGTATTTTCTGTTAATTGGAAGTTGTACTAAAGCTTTTGCCAAAGTTCCTTGATTTTTTATATTTTTCCAGTAAAATAATTTTGACCTCTTGAGAATATCTAGTTGGTGTTTGTTTGGTTCATTTAACCATAAGTACCTCATGGTTACCTCATGAACCCCTTATATTTAAATGCTGGGGCCTTAAAGTCTGGAATATTACTTTAGTTAATTGGGGTGCCTGTCCTGGCTGCGTCTCCTCCCAGCTTCCTTTGCCAGCAGGGTTGACCTCTTGAGAATATCTAGTTGGTGTTTGTTTGGTTCATTTAACCACAAGTACCTCATGGTTAAAGGACCTCTGTGAACTCCTTATATTTAAATGCTGGGACCTTAGAGTCTGGCATATGCCTTTGGTTAATTGGGATACCTGTCCTGGCTGTGTGTCCTCCCAGCTTCCTTTGCCAGCAGGACAGTATAAAAAGCAGAAAGCTTTTTAGCTCTGTAAACACTGCTCAGCAATAACAAAAACATCTCTATGCTATCAACCCTTGGTTCAGCATAGATCCAAAACAGTGGCCCATACCAGCAACTGTGGACAGAATTAACTCTAACCCAGCCAGCGCACATGGTGAAAAAGACAACAGTTGTTTTTACTACAAGCTTAACTTTTAATGGGAAGGCAAATTTTTCAAATATTAGTAATGCAAACAAGACCTGGACAATCTTTAGCTCTGTAAACACTGCTCAGCAATAACAAAAACATCTCTATGCTATCGACCCTTGGTTCAGCATAGATCCAAAACATTGGCCCATACCAGCCACTGTAGACAGAATTAACTCTAACCCAGCCCGCACACATGGTGAAAGAGACAACAGTTGTTTTAGCTACAAGCTTAACTTTTAATGGGAAGACAAATTTTTCAAATATTAGAAATGCAAACAAGACCTGGACAATTTGGTCTTTCCTCATTATCCCTTTTAATATGATCCCCTGTTTGATTTTGAGTCAGAAATCTTCACCTTTACTAATCTAGAGTTTCAAAGCAGCTCTGGACCAGTCTCCCTATTCAACTCCATGTGTCAATAGTGAACATCTTCTTTTCACCATCACAATCTTCAGGGATTAGGTAAGTAACAAACAGAGTCATTAGAAGAATTATGTAATTCCTTATACCAGCTACAGGTCTCTGGATTAATGATTATTAAATTAAAACACTTGTGGCAGACTGTGTGAGTGGAACTGCATTGACAGCTGTAGTAGAGATCTAATTTGCTTTTTTAAACTTTCCTTTGTATTTTTGTGTTGCTGTTGTTTTTATCCCAAAAGATTTAATTTATACAAAGCTGAAAAGATGTTTAAAACATTGGAAATCCAAACCTGCTGCTTTCAGGAAAATTTCTTTCATATTTTCCTTGCAGAGTTGCCATTTCTTTGATGTTTGACAGGGACTTGAAACCTGGGATAGAGTGACCCATATAGGAAGAAAGAAAATAGGGACATTACATTTTTTGCTAGAAAAACTGGGACATCTGGTCACTTCATTTGTTACCAAAAAGAATATCTTCAGAGAATGTTATCTGTAGGTACAGGGATTTGATGATTACTCAACAGTGAGAGGAAAACAAGAGACTCTGTTAGTTAAAAGTTGATCTAAATTCCTTTTGTAGGTAGGAATTTTGAATTTTAGAACAAGAAATGGTTATTTTACTTCTTAAATATACAATAAAAAGAGATTCCTGTAAAAAAAAAGCCCATTTGTATAATTAACATCATAATAAACCCAGATACACTGAGCCCCTCCAACATGATGTGTTTCCCAGCTATATACCTTCTTCAAACCTGTTTAAAAAACCTCCCTAAGAGGATTATTTTATAGTCTGCTGGAACTGAGTGTTTTATAGACAGAGAGGAAATCCTTTTCCTGGGCCATACATATTCAGGCAGAGATACATTAATGATGAGAGCATGAAACATAACCATGTAAACTCTGAAGAAGAATGTCGTTACAATCAAATATATCAGTGAACAAGGTTCACAAGTACTACAAAAGCTTGAAAGATAAAGCTGAAATCTGGACTCTTTCTAAATGATGATGTACAGAAAGAGGGGATTCCTTTACATTCTTAAAACTGAAACATTTTGAGTATGAGAGGAAACAATTTGTCATTAAAACCATGTTGTTTTGAGCAAGTTTTATTACTGGTGGGAAAGATTCCATAGTTTTAAAGCATTTTCACTCTGATGTCAGAGGTAATGTAATCTCTGACCGTTGCATCACCAAGCACTTTAGTGCCAGGGGTTGGTTCACAGCGTCTTCACTGCACAGCACAACTGCTTAATGAGCTCCACAGTGCTTGGTCTAAGGCCCAAATTTTATTCCTTCCAAGATTCTGTCTTAGTATGGTCACATCAGATTCAGTCAACTATAAATGTTTCTGAGCTTCTTGAACGGCCCCCCCTTACTGTTTCTTGACAGGTTTGTTGCTCCAGGGACACCAACACCAATTTGCAGCTCGCCAGTGAAACGGCAATTGTTTCCATGATCCCTCGCCTCCTCTGCCAACTTCCACATTCCCTGTTTCTTGAATGGCCCCCCCTTACTGTTTCTTGACAGGTTTGTTGCTCCAGGGACACCAATTTGCAGCTTGCCAGTGAAATGGCAATTGTTTCCATGATCCCTCACCTCCTCTGCCAACTTCTGCGTTCCCTGCTGTACTGCAGCAAACACACCCAGAGGATCTCCCTTTGTCATCTTAGCAGTTCCTAGCATCAATCTCCCCTTTCACCCTATTTGTAGTACTCAAACAAGCATCCAGCTCATCCCTTGCAATCTCCAGCCATTTCTGTATTTCCTTTGCATCTGTAAGGTACAACATAAATTAACCCAGTCTACAGAAGACACTCAAGGACATTTTCAACATCATGCTGTCTCCAAGTCTTAAGTTCTTAGCAAGAATTTGCATTTTCTTACTGTAAATTAGATATGATCAAGACAGCAGTGGTTTCAGGTGATAGCTTCAGTTGGATTTGTTTTGCTAACTGGCTTCAAAGCCTCTTGTTTTTGTTTTGTTTCCAAATGCTTCTTCAGGGCTCTACTAGTGCATGACATGCTGTTCATGGTTTGACTGCTCTGTCCTCTCTCTCTGCTGCTAAATGAATTTGTGATCCGTTTATTATATATATTCTTTTTTCATATTTGTACTGGTTGTGTTACTAATGTTCTGGACCATGGAAATGAAATTCAATAACCAAAGTTAGCAAAGTGGCCTTTTGAAGGAACCTTAATTTTATTAGCTCAGGGGGAGTATGGAATTTGAGCCATGCTGAGATAACATCATACGGTAGGTCACACCCAAGGGCTGACATTATCTCTCAGGGACACACACTCCTGGGGTGTCTTATTAATTATAGTTAATTGCATGGAAATTAATGAGCTTTTTCAGTGGCTACTGGGCTACTCTACAGCTGCCAGAAAAACTATATTAACTTTGATTTTTATGTTTCTTGGTCTTTGAGCAGTTAAATGCTTTCACTTTATCTCAATTTACTGTCTGCTCTTCTAGTGTATAACTAATTTCATATTTTTTGTTGCTTCCTAATACCACTACTATATGTGCTTTCAGTAAGAAATTTTTCCACTATTTTTATTGTATATCATCTATGCCAAAGAAAGTAAATTTGCCTCATTTACCTTAAAATTCCCCTGGATTTGAGAGAGGTTTAAAAGCCATTTGCAAGTATAATCATCTAAGGGATATAATGCATGATTCTCCATGGTCTCCAGTTCTTATTTAGACAACATCCAGACAGCCAAGATATCTATAATAAAATACTAAAATGGGGTCATGATGTTGCTGATAATTAACTTCAGAATTCTGGTTAAATGGCTGTATTAAAAACCTAATACCTTTCTGAAACTAAAGCATTAATATTAAAGAACATGGGCTATTTCAATGCCAGAAGTGAAAAACCCAAACAAGAACCTGTATTTCTGAGGGAATTTGTTAGCTTGGGAACAGATATTTTGGGTTTCCATTTGACTTGACAGATCTTGGTCCCTTTTGGATATTTCTGTACTCCACATGATAAACACATGTATTCCATATTCATAGACTTGTAATACTTACTAAACAAATTTAACATTCAAGGCATTTCTATTTTTGATAACCTTTTTGTTGAATATAGAGTGGGGCTGATTTTATGGAGTAACTGCAAGAAGCTGAAAGACATGATGAATGAATTGAGAAAAACTTGCTGTGAAGGAATAAGGATGATGCTGTGCTATCACTGCTGAGTGTTATTCATTATACACTATAAGCACTGCTGCAGAATATTTAGTGGTGAACACTTACAAAGCTCAGTATATCTTAAAAGCCCAGAGGAATTAATTAGGCCTTAAATAACCCCTGTTAATTTTTAGCACATACTAGTAATCTTTCCACTGACAAGATTTTACAAAAATACTCTTTTCTCAAGCCTTCCAAATATTTCCAACATCATAATGAACCCCATTTCTAAAATCAGTATCTTTTCATGGAAAACACTATGTTGAACACTTGAAAGCTCTAATGCAGCCTATATTCCTATAAAATTTATTCTTTGTAATAATATGGTCTTAAAGTTATGATTCATAAAAACATAATTTTATTGGAAATACAACAAGTGAAAAGTTTTAAATGAGCATACAAAAATGAACTTAAGACATTAAGTACTTTTATTCATTGCTATATAAAATTTGATATTTTGTTCAAAACAATTGCAGGCTTGATACAGAAGGAAAGAAAAGCATATTAAATAGAGAAAGTTATAACAAAGTTCAGTTTACTTTTGAATTAATGTTAGTGATTCCAAATATAGCTGTATTTGATGATGTTTAACATTTTCAGTTTGAATAGAATAAGAATATCAAAAGTAAAAATTTGCATAAATCTTCCAGTTTATCACTCATACACTTCAAAATGGCTGTTTCAAACTCATCTCTTTAGTTGTTTAAGACATAACTTAAGGCAGTGCTTACAGGAGTCAGATCTTTTGACAGCAGACACTAATCTAAGAGACAAAGGCCCTAAAACAGTCCAACAGTTGCAAGCTGAATTTTGACAAAAATGTCTGCCACACTTTTTTAGGAGTGAAAATGTTCAGCTGCTGCAGAAGTTTCCAAAAAATAGAGCAGAGTCTCCAGTCTGTCGGCCTTTAAATCAGTATAAATTATCTTTTTCAAAGGATGCCTGTAGTCAAAACAGTTGCTGAATACATGGAAGAATTTTGGTGCTCTACCCCATGTTAACTCCAAAGTATCATAACAGCCCTTCTGGGCTTAGAAGCTATTCATTCATGCATCTTGACCTACTGCAGAGCAAATGTTTATCAAATAAAACTTTTCTTTGTCAATGTCTAATATTTCATTAGAACTTCATCGTTCTAGGCCAGTGGATTACTGGCGAGCTGGCGACCGGTAAATTACTCCCTGCAGACTAAATTAGCTGTGGCACACTCTTCTGGATGTCATTAAAATTACCATGGATCAAAAATGTCTCATCAAAGACCAGCAGCATGTCTAACTTTGTCATACAGGTCTAGAACAGATGCTCTTACCCCAGAACCTAAATGATGTGTAAGGATGTATTTCTGTAGCCATTGGAATTGGAACTAGATGATCTTTAAGATCCCTTCGAACCCGGGAATGGGGGGCAGAGAACTACCTCTGCAGAGCAAGGCCTGACCCACACTCTTCCAAGTCCCCAAGATGTCTCGGAACAGACTCCCTTTTCCACTCCCTGACACTGTCTTCCCATTTTATCTTGACCTCAGGAAGAAGTGCACTGTATTTTGTTCATCCCTTCCTTTGAATCTGTGTGAATCCCATGTTTCAGAGTCATCAGAGTATCATATAATACGTTAGTCTGTAAGGACAACATCACATGAGCTATGTAATCTATAGCAGAAACTTTAAATATGAAGTTTTATTTATCTAGAATTAAAAGCAGTGTTTGTCTCATTTTCTTGGAAACTCTTCCAAATTTTAAATATGACAGCATGGTATAATGATGTAGTTGAGAATGGTGATACCCTGATCCCATCCCTTGCAAAAGGCTGTTGTTCTCCAGTTACATGCTATTTATGCCTCATTGAGATGTCTTGCATATGTCCTGGCTGCCAGGGTAGAGTGGGCACTGCTGGACTTAGTGAAAAGTTGGGTAAAAAATAATACTTCACTCAATAATAAATATTTTCCTGATTGCAAAAACCTGTAATCATATGAGCTCCCCACCCTAAGTGCCTTGCAGAGCAACAGCAGTTTTTAATTCTTTTATACCACATGAGGCATAAAACCTGATTGAATATGTTTTATTTTCTCCTATTTACCCTCGTTATCAAGTGGGAAAATTCTAAGCGTCATGTTTCTCGTTTGCAGTAGATACAAAAATTTGTTACAAGATATGCCAGACAGGGCCCATTCAGTGCAAGGTGTAGGATGTATTCTGAGTTAATGCTGGAGCAAAGTATCCAGAATTTGGCCTCTAAGAGATTAATTTGGCTCATTGTTTAAAATTAATTTGTTACAAGAAAATGTACACAGGTGTGAAGAGAACATTCAAGAGAAGGTTTGCATCATTACGGGACTTTTAGAGTAAAAGTTACAATTGGAAAAATATCTTTAGATGCTCAGAGAATTGCAGAATGGTTTGGGCTGGAAGGTACCTTGAGGATCATGTACTTCCAAATCCCATGCCATGGGCAGGAGCACCTATTGCTAGACCACTTTGCTAAGGACCCATCCAAACTGGCCTTCAGCAATGGAGCATCCACAGCTTCTCTGGGCAACCTGTTGGGGTGTTTCAGAGCCCATGCTGAAGTCCGCACCCTTTTTATGTGGAGGACCCCAAAACTGAGTGCAGCACTGCAGGTGGGTCTGAGCAGAGCAGAGGGGCTGCTCCCTTCCCTTGCCCTGCTGCTCACTCTGCTTTTGGTGCAGCCTGAACATGCTTGGCTTTCTGGCTGTGAAGTGCACATTACTGGCTCACATCCAGCCTCTCATCCACCAGCACCCCAAAAAACATGAAAGATAAATCCTTTCTCCACAAGTCCCTTTTATGTAGGGCTGATCACATTGGTGCATGATAGAAAGACCTCTTTATGGACAAGTAGCTCTTACAGGAAATAGTATTTATAACTACCTATTGACAACATAGTGTTCTATAATGACAGTGCTAGAATTGGCTTTTCCTTCCTTAAACCATCATTGTATTGAACCATGTAACCAGAAAATCACAATGCAGTGATCTTTGTGCTAATCCTTCTGTGGGAGCTTAATGACTTGTCTGCTCATCTTGGAGATAATAAACTCCACAATGGAAACAATAGCTGTCTTGGTGACTTTGCATAAATCATTATTGGTAAATGTGAAAGAAAACCTATATACAGAAAGTAAGCAGTGAGATAGCTCACATTTTTGGTATTAATTCTAATTGGCTTTAAAGAATCTGTAATCCAGTGAATAAATAGATAAAAATAGATAAAATACACAAAAAATGTAAATATTATCCCAAGGTACAATCAATTAGATCCCCTACATAGTC